CCGTACCCGCTCTCACATTCTTGCTTTTGGCATCCAGACTCCCTGGCTCACCGCACAGGGCGGGCCTGGAGCTGGGCTCCTCTGCCTTCTCAGGGCCTTCAGAATCCACTGCCTTCCACACTGGATGCGGGTCCGGGCCCCTGAGCGGACCACGAGCCCTCCCTCATTTTCCGTTCTTAAACTGACTCTTCTCCTGCCCTCACCTCTCCTCCTCCTGCCTCGGCCCAGCATGCCCTTTGAGATCCTGGCTGTTCACCTTCTGGGGCCTCAGAGCATTCCGAAGATCAGATGGAAGCGGCCATCTGTTTGGGAAGGCGTAGAGCTGGGCACAAGCACACGACTGCGAGTCTTCCAGGCAGGACCCTGCGGAGGCGGCCTGAGCTTCCTGAGGCCCGCCCTCCTGTGGAGTCTCCCCCGCAGTGTGGCTGCCCCTTCCTCCTGCTCCCAAATGTGGGCACCCCGATCTCCCTTCTCTGCAGAGCCTCTTTCTCTGGATCCCGGGACGCCGCTCTCTGGGCAGCACCGCCTGCTCCTTTGTGGCCCTGCCCTTACTCTCCCCACCTCCGCGTGCATGGATGCCGACATCCCCCCCAAGTCACCTGAGCCCCGGGGGTCCTCACCAGTGCCACAGCTTCCCTCTGCCCCCACCCTCCACTCGTCTTTACAACCAACATCGAATTCCTGCGCCAGACTCTTTACCCTGGAACCTGTACAATCCGGTGGTTCCAGAATCTTCACAAAGCTAGACAACTGTCAGCACCGTCTCATCTGAGGACACCCGCGTCCCCACTCAGCTGTCTGGGCTTCGCTGGCTCGGCTTCCGGGTGCGTCCGCACTGGCCCTCTCACGCAACCCCCGCCACGCTGCACCCGACCACTTCTTACCTTACCACCCATTCACCTGGTCTGAGCACCCTCCCCTTTCCTCGCTGCCCACGTCACCCTGTTCTGCTCATGGCAGGCCGAGCGAGCCCGCAGAACCTGTCCGCTCCCACGTCTCCTCTGCTGAAAGCCCTCTGGGGGCTTCCGTCTCACCTGATGGAAAGCCCCGCGCATCCCCTGCTCTAGAGGCTCTCCCGGCCTCAGCCTGCTGCCCTCTGGTCTCGTCTCTGCCCAGGATTGCCATGTGCTCAGCCTTTCCACCTGCTCTTCCTCAGCCTGACACATGTTCCCACAGGTATCTGTGTGTGCAGCTCCTTCCAGGCTCGGCGTCAATGTCACCTCCTCACAGAGACCATCACTGACAGCCGGCATAGAGCAGCCTTGCGTCTCTCCGTCACTGATAAATGTAGAGAGGGGCGTGCATGTGTGTGTGTTCGCTGCTTGCTGGTTTCCTCTCCTACCAGGGGTAACCCTGGAAGTCAGGGACCTCACTTGGTTCCCAGCACTGAGCACAGTGCCTGTGCGTGGTGGATGCCCAGTGAAAGGGCTTGCTGGGAGGAGGGATGGATGGATGGACAGACTGAAAGGGCTCTCTGGTAGGGAAGACAAGCCATAACTTCCATCTGATTTTCAGAGTTCCCCGTGACTCAGTAAAGGTATTTCAATAAGGGATTGTTTTCCTAGATAAATCCACAGATTTTTTTTTTTTTCACTCTCTCCAAAGACTAGGCCTTAGTGTGGCTGTGGTGAAAGATCATGAGCTTTGTCTTCAGACAGAGCATGTCCTAATCCTGGCTCTTTGGCAGGGCTTTAATCAAATTACCAAACCTACCTGAGCCTGATTTTCTTCTCTCTAAAGCCTAGCTTATAGGGTTATTAAGAAGACAAAAATGAGTTGCTTGAAACATGCCAGGTGCTGCATCGAGCACCTCGTTAGTGTTAAGGCCCTCGGTAAATATTATTCTTTTTCCTATTCCATTAAAGAATGGACAAAAGTTTCAGCTAGTCCCGTTATAGCAACCCATTTCCACTTTCAGGAAGCCATGAGCCGGGACAGCCTGCGTGGACTCAGGACTCAGGGGAAGCAGTGAGCCGGGATGGCCCCCCTGGACTCGGGACTCAGAGGGGAAGGAGCAAGCTAGGATGGCCTGCGTGGACTCGGGACTCAGAGGGGAAGCAGTGAGCTGGGACGGCCCGTGTGGACTCGGGACTCAGAGGGGAAGCAGCGAGCCAGGATGGCCCGTGTGGACTTGGGACTCAGAGGGGAAGGAGCAAGCTAGGATGGCCCGCGTGGACTCGGGACTCAGAGGGGAAGCAGCGAGCCGGGATGGCCCGCATGGACTCGGGACTCAGAGGGGAAGGAGCAAGCTAGGATGGCCCGCGTGGACTCAGGACTCAGAGGGGAAGCAGCGAGCCAGGACCGCCCATGTTATAACATCAGTCTCTCTCCACCTGGGGCCTGCTGTGGCTGCAGGGCCCTGGCCGCTGCCTTGCCCCATCCCCATAACCCCAGGAGCCTGAGGGCTGGGGTTTTGATCCCCATTCTCTGGGGGACAGAGTGCAGCTCAGGGCTAGGATGGAGGCCTAAGTCACGTAGCTAAGAGGGTGGCCCGGGGGCCCAGGTTCCCAGGCCTGCACCCCCTTCCTGAGCAAACACATGCTGCTCCGAAGATGGTGGAGATGACTGAATTATTTAAGAGAACAAACTGTTTTCAAGCAGCCTGATTTGCATGCTGGCCCCTCATATGCTCACGGCAAACCATTCCTCTGGGCCCTCTGAAGCCACAGCTCCTAGCAAGCCCTCTGCTTGGCTGCTCTGTGTGCGTTGGGAGCACCACACAGGTGCTTCCTGGCCGTGACTCAGACTGTTTGGGGTCAGGGCTCCTTCTCCTGTGACCAGGTGTGGTGGGGCCCCTCCCTCAGGGTGGGCCAGGAGGGAGCGTCCCTGTCCCATAGAGGGCCATCTGTCCCAGTGCGGAGAGTCCAGAGGAGAGAGGTGTGAAGGGGGAGCAGAGCACGGGAGCAAACGTGCACTGTGGGCGGCCAGGGGAGAGGCGAGCAGGAGGGCGCTGGAGCTCCGGGACAGGGGTGAGGGCACCGGGTTCGGAGAGTTGGTGGCTGTGTGGCTCTGGGTTCAGGGCTGACCGTCGGGGGCCGTCTCTGGGGGGCCAGCCAGCCCAGGGAGCAGAGAGGGATGGGAGGGCGGGTCCAGCTCGACGCCAGGCGCTGGAGGTGCTGTCCAGCGCGGGGTCCATTGTGCGTCTGCGGCCAGAGTGGCCGTCCCCAGCCTTGAGGCCGTCGAAGGCACGGCTGGCCACAGTGTGAGAGGCGGGGAGGGGAGAGAGCCGGCCAGGGCTGGAGCTCCCCGCGTCCTCACTCTCCCGCCTTGAACCCTGAGGGGCCCAAAGATTCGAGATTGATTTGAACTTGGCCCCCTCCCCGTCCTTTTGAAGGTGTCGTTGTCAAGTTAGGAGGAGGGATAAAACAAATTTTATGTCATGGTTTGTTAGCTCGATGTACAGCTTGTGAATATGCGGACACCGGGTAGGTGTGTCTCCACTGGTGCTCCTGCCCTGAGCCCCACAGAGGGTGTGGTGGGCCCGGCTGGCCCGCATCTCTCCCCCACCTCTGCCAGCAAAGGCCGTGGCCGCCAACCCCCCGGGCCAGCCCCGGGGCCCTGCCCAGGATGCCGCTCTGTGACTGCAGAAAGCAGACCTAGCAAGCAGTTGTTTCAGTCCAGCAGAGGCAGAGTGTCCTTGGCCCAGAGAGCTATGGGCTGCTCGTCGGTGGACAGTAAGGGGCCCGTCAGCCAGACTGGGAGGGAGCAGAAGGGCTGGTTCTGACCTCCCATCACCCACCTCTATGGGTGCAGGGTCTGCTCGTCAGCAGGCTTCCCTGAGCTGGAAATGGCCTCCTCAGGGCGCGTCCGTGCGTCCCACTGCCCTTGCCCCGGCCTGCTGCCCCAGCCCGCCAAGACCCATCACAGTGTTTGTTGTTTCGGAGTGAGTCCCCGCTACGGGTGGGTGCTGGAAACCTGCTATGGGTGGGCTGTGCCTACAGAACTGTCCCCCTGTGGCTGTGTTTTCCTCGGACGCGACCACAGTGGTGTTTCCTGGTGCGGCCTCGCGCTCCCCCATCAACAGGATGGACCTCTTTCTGCACCTGCTTGGATCGGGAAAGGCCCTGTGGCTGCTTTGACCCCCAGAACATGGCCGAGCGGTGCCGAGGCCTTACACTGGCCTGACGTTCCCTTGCTGCCCCTCACCCAGCACAGCAGCACACAGACAGTGTGACCACACTGAGACCACGATGCTGAGGGGCCACGCAGGCCTCCGGGCGGGGGCGGGAAGGAGCGAGGGTCCCACGGATGTCACACGGACCAGAGACAGACAGACGGCCCCGCCGACCCCTCCCTCAACCCCTGACCTCAGCTCAGAATCAGGAGCCAAACCAAATGGCTATTGGAGCCCCTGTGTTTTGGGGGAGTTTGCTGTGCAGCCGTGGTAACCAGCGCTCCTTGCTCCCAGGTATTCCCGTCATAAGCCTTCTCCACGGCAGGCTGGGGCCGCCTGACTTCTCTCTAGCGCCCAGAGGCTGCCCTCACAAGGTCCAAACTGAGCAGCCTAAACAACAGAACTCTCTGGTCTCCTAGGTCTGGTGGCCACAAGTCTGAGATCAAGGTGTCGGTAGGGTTGGTTCTTTCTGAGGGTGTGAGGGAGAATCTGTTCTGTCCTCTCCCGACTTCTGCTGGAGAGACAGATGGTCCACAGAGACCCACACAGGAAGACTGTTCACTCCGTGCTGTGCTGCTAAGATACAAAACCGGGACTGCAGCTGAGGGCCAGTGGGGCCCAGGGAGGACCTCTCTGGGGGGAGACTTTGAGTTGGGAGCCGCATGATGGGCAGGGTCCAGTCATGTGCAGATCTGGGGCAGCATGCCAGGCACCGCAGCACGTGCAAAGGCCCTGAGGTGGCAGCATGTGTGTGCATTTGAGGCACAGAAGGAAGCCCCATGGACTGTGGGGAAAAGACAGAGATGGACAGGAGCCAGGCTATAGAGGGTCCTGGGGAGGCTGCTGCAGTATGTGGGTTTTTATTCTAAGTGAACTAAAGAGCCACTGGTGGTTTTTAAGCAGGGAAGTTATGCAATATGACTTCTACAGCTCTGTGGAGAATGAGAATAGCAGCCAGGAGGCCAGGTAGGTGGAGCTGGTGGGTCTGGCTGGTAGAGTGGATGGAGGGGATGCGGAAAGGGGGGGCGTAGAGGTGTCACTGGGCCTTTCTTGAGCTGGGGTGGAGGCGGGAGTGAAAGGCAGGGTCCATTGGGCCCCTGCGTGGGGCTGCTGGGGAGACGGCTGGCTGTGTGGGCCGGAGCAGAATGAAGGCGGGTCCTGGAAGGAGCTTGGTGTCGGGGCCTGGCCTGGGAGGTGCGGGGCTGAGGCAGCTCACAGCCTGGTGGAGGGGGTTCTCCGTGGGTGTGGCAGCCCTGTCCCCACCCAAGCCCATGGGCGGGGCCTGCACTGCGTTCCGGGGCGGACGGTGAAGCAAGGCCCTCAGACACTGCGAAGGTGTCACAGACGTGGGCTGTGTGCCGGGTGAGGACAAGCCTTCCCTGAACTTCCCCGGGCCTCTGCTTTCTGGCCCACCGCAGGCAGCAGTCCTACTCCTCCGCAGCTGCTGCAGGCCTGAGGTGCGCGTGGGGAGCTCCTGCCCCGTACCCAGCCCTGCACTACCCTTCAGAGTAGAGCACCAGGACTAGCCCGGGTGGCCCGCCAAGTCACCCCGGGACCTCTGGTCCCCGCCGAGCTCCCCAAGGCAGTCATCGTGCTGCTGAGAGCCCGCCCTGTAAACCCCCCCAGGCCCGGGAGCTCCGTGTCCCCAACACCCAGTGTCCAGCTGGGGTGTCTCACATGGTAGCTGAGGAGGATGAGGGCCTCCTTGTCCCGGGCTGTGGGGTGCAGGGCATGGGATCAGCCCACAGCAACAGCCCCTCCAGCTTTCAGGAGTAAGGGGGTCTACAGCCGCTGTTGTTGTATTTGCAGTGGGCGTCTCAGAGCTCACAGGGGCCCTCGGGTGGGCACCTAGAACCCCGTGAAGGAACGTCTTCAGGGGCAGCCCGCTGGCCATCATTCACTCAGGCCGGCAGGGATGACGGGCGGACGGGCAGACCCGTGGCCAGGCAGGTCCGTCCCTCCTCCGTCTGCCTTTGCAGTGGGTCAGCCTCCACATGCCGGGTACACTGAAAACGCAGTCTGCGTTCAACAGGGAGACGGCTCCCAGGCACGTTGGGTAGACTCCAGGACCAGAGCATGTGCAGAAGCGGGGATTGCTGCAGGGACTCAGCCAGAGCCCACTGAGGGTCCCTCACTGGCACCCAGACCAGAGATGACCCAGTGTGACTGGGAGCAACAGGCAGTCCCCGAAGGTGGGGTGGGGTACCATGGGACCACCTGAGGAGACTAGCAGGAGCTTGGAGCCCTAATTAAATCTCCTGGTTGTCAGGTTGGAGCCCCCTGCCCCCAGCTCCCCAAGGAACAGACTGTGTCTGCAAACCGCCGCCAGTCTCCCAAGCCCGGGTAGGGAGGGCGAAGTGGCCCTGGGCAGATGGCAGCCCCAGGGAGCCCCACTCAGGTGGGCCGACCTGCACCAGCTGCTCCAGGGCCCAGAGGGCCGGGGTCTCTGCTCATCATCCAGCATTTCCCGAGCACCTACTGGGCCTGCGCTTGGAGCAAGCCGACCTCCTCCCAGCCATCCCTGGGCCTTTGCTGGTGGGCAATGAAGGTTGAGGAGACAGCCCAGTGGGAGGGAATCGAGTGGAGTCTGATGGGGTCACACAAACAGGCCTTCTCCTGGCCTTGCCACACCCCAGCCTCGGGACCTTGGCCTGGCCTCAGCATGGTGTTGCAGCCCATCTCTGGTGCAGAAAGTAACTCTCCCACCAAGTGGTTATGCCCGGCTCCGGGGCGGAGGGGGGCATCTGCAAGTGCTCAATCCCTGCCCCCACCCTCCCCTGCCTGCATCTCTGAGGACTTCTTTGTCTCTACTTTTTTATTTTCTGTTAGTGAGAAACTAGTCGGCAAACAGGGGATGAGATCTGCATCATTTTACGTAAGGTTCAACCCCGTTTATGGGGGTGGGGGTTGGATTTTTCAATTGTGCCAAGATTGCTTCTCTTAGGATTCCCCAGCCTAAGAAGAAAGAAGCTTAGCCTACCCTCACCCCAAACTTAATGCAGGGCCTGAGGCTCAGGGAAAAGCTGCATTATTTTGTGTCGTAGGGGCAGACCTGCAGAAGTCCCCACCAGCACGATGGGAAGTGCAGTGACCTGGAAGGGATTTGTGCGTGCTCCTCCATCCTGTCAGCAGGCACTGTTCAAGTCCCTCCGGAGGTCCGAGCAGGAGCTGAGGGTCAGGAGCTTCCCCGCTGGGGCTAGTGGAACCCCGTGTGTTCCCGTGTGCCCCGGGCAGACCCTGGAGCAGCTCACAGCCCCCACCTGTGCTGAAGTGATGGGCCAGGAGACCAGCAGTCAGGGCTCCGAGCCTGTGCTCAGAGCAAGGTACATCCTGGCACTGGGGACTGATGGGGGCCCCTTGCTCCACTTGGGCAGGTCCAGAGGGGCTTCACAGAGGAGGAAGCAGGGGCAGGGAGCTGGGAGGAGTGAAGAGGAGAACCTCTTGGCTGCTGGGGCCTCTGAGGACCTGCCAGAAGCTTTGCCAGGTACCTGGCATCCTTTCGTGTGCTGATCTGTGGAAGCCTTCTGAGCACAGGGCCACTTTCTGCCTGTCCTGGAGAGGGAGGGGACAGGCAGGGGGCCCCCAGTCTCCCGCCACTCCACCAGGCTGGGCCCTTCCTGGCCCATCTTCCTGCCACCACCATCTCTTCCCTGCCCTTCGCTCTCCCCATCTGGGATTGCAAGGACAGAGAGTGAAGGGCATATGTTCACCCACCGTGAACCCCGAGCCCCGGCCCCTCCACCCACAGGCGTGCTTCCCTGGGGCCTCCAGAGGCTCTGGAGTAGGCTGTGTGAACCACACTCCTCCACACATGCGCAGGCCTTCTGTTTGGATGAAGCCCGGAGCTCAGACACCTGCAGTGTGGTGGTTCAGGTGGCTTAGGCTCACAGAGGCAGGGCTGGGGTTTGGACCCAGGCCTGGGAGCTGCCTACTCACACCCTGCCTGGTATAGTGAAGCAGCTCGCCATCCTCCCTAGGCCTGGGGTGGAGCGCATGTTAACCCTTCAACCCCGGGCTTGCAGCGGGCATGGGGAAGCCATGTTGTTCAGGAGAAAGCGTCTGACACATGTTGAAAGGAAAGGAAGAGTATTCCAGATGGTTGCCGCAGGAGTCAAGACGTGGAGAGTGGGGGGCGATCAGGCCCAAGTCCATCAGCAGACAGACAGCAGGGGCTTAGAGCCTGGGAGCGGAGGAGGGGTTGGCAGATGGAAAGGTGACGGACAGGAGATGTGAGGGAATTCTTTCTGCGGGCAGGCCACGTGATGAGACGGGGCAGGCAGGGGTTCTCCCTAAACTGACTTGGCAGGATTCAGGCCCGGGGGAGGAGGGTGCAGAGGAACCAGACGGAGGTTTGCTCCAGAGGCATGTTTGTCAGCCCCTCCCAGCCGTGCCTCTGGAAGCTCCTCGGGGTCTCCAGTCCCCAGCCCACACCCTGGGTCTCCTAAGGGCCTGTGGCAGCCTCGCTCCTCCCATCATCTCACATGTGCGCTCACTTCTGTCCTTCCTGCCACCCCTGTCAGACTCTGCTGTGCTTTTCGTCACTCCCCCCAGCTGCGCAGTTCAGGGACTGCCACACGGTCACGAGATGCTACTGGTGGGGGAGGGTGCAGGCCCACGGATGTCCCCAAGGCCCTCCCTGCTCTGAGGTCTGTGGGTCAGCCGGGGACCAGGCACCCCATCTAGAGCCACGGGTGGCAGTGAGGGTGGTGGGGGGCTGTGTGCCCACGACTAGAGGGGAGAGGGAGAGGCTAACCTCCTAGGGCGGGCCACCAAGGGAAGGGTGGTTTGTGTCACCTCCTAGATGGCCTGTTCTGGGCCTCCTCCGTAATGTGGGGGTCCCAGGCCATACCACTGCCCACAAAACTGCTGGGCAGACCTGCCCTGGTCTGCCCCCTGTCCCTGTCCCCACTATGTGGTCAACCTCTGGGGGCCCAGTGAGGGGCCCATAACCCAAGGAACTTCCTGAAAAGAACAGGCCCTGCCCAGGTGCTGAACAGGAACGTGATGAGGGACGTGAGCATGGCGATCTGGCTAGAGACCTCCCCGGCACCAAACCCACCCCCCCGCCGCTGCCCTGTGCATCACAGGTGGGAGGGAGTCTGGGTCTGCCTCGCCCTCTGGGACCCTGTCCCTGCACCCCACAGCCAGCATGAGAGCGAGCAGGTTGGGACAGTCTGTATGAGAACCAAGCCCAGGTGTTCGGGCTTTCTCTCCATCAGCCGAGAAGACGTAGAGCCCAGGACGACACAGCCACCGCCCATGGTAGACCCTGGCGTGAGCTCTAGCTCCCACTTATGCGTGCAGGGCGGGCAACGGGCACAGCCAGCCACTCGCAGGCTCGGGGCAAAGACTGATTTGTGACTAATCGCCCCCCACCCCGATTGTCTTCTTCTCCCAAGGAGGCCACCTTGGGACCCGGGCACAATCCTTGGAACTGTGCTGTTTAAAATAAAAAATGAGGGTGCTTCAGCAGGACCACATTTTTAAGGACTGGAAAAGCCCTCCTGGCCCCAGGGCCCAGGCAGGAGCCTCCTGGCGCGCGTCTCCCTGTGGGCGGAGGCCCCCTCGGGTAACAGTGGTGTGTCTGCCAGCAAAGCACTTACTGAGCGCCTACGAGCGGCACGACTCTCGGGTGGTGCAGTCAGTCTGGAAGACGAACGGGTTCTGTGCGCGGGGGCATCGGGCAGGGCCTGGCGAGACCAAGCCCAGGAGCAGGGTACCCACGACCCCGAGGCAGCGCCCGGCTACACCCAGGACGTGCACAAGCACCATGCCCAGGCCAGGATTCATGCCTGTTAGCAAGACCGTCTGTCCCCTTCTCGTCCTCTGGCCACGCGTGTGCTAACCCTCCGTTGGGGACTGCCCCCGGGTCGCATCTGCTCCGCGTGGGCCGCCGTGGCAGGGAGCGAGTCGTTATCAGAGGGTGGGATGGCACCCCTGGTCTCAGCGTTGTTGGGGGGAGCGCC